TAATTAGAAATAATGGGTTGAAAAGCCAAAGGTTGGTCTATGGTGTTAGAACTTTGAAAAATGGTTTTTCAGTTCATTATGTTGGGGTCTACCTCAACTAGTCACATCATCTTGCAAATCACCAACAGCTGTGGGGCTGATAAAAGAGAATGCTCTCCATACTGTGGAGAAAAAGTGAAGAGATTGTGAGGAGACTGTGGCAAGGTGTAGCCTGACAGAACCTTAGAGATGGAGCCAAAGTTAAAGGTTTTGTTTCTGGGCGACTCAATAAGGAGTTGACTTGCAGCTGCTATGAGACAATGCTTGCTGGATAATTGAGGAAACCAGAGGTTTCTTTGTGCTGCTAAACTGATCCTAGACTTTGATTTGTTGACTGAGAAGCTGTCTGAACTAATTGAGGAATTATATCTTGATGTTAGGTTGGTTTGGGGCTGCTGTTCACTAAACCTGGACTTTCTCTATGTGATATCCTTGGTCTTCCCCCTACCCCATCCTATTTCCCTTATAAACCCCACATTAAAAAGGAACTTATAAAAGTTCCTTCTTAAAAAGGAACTTACCCTGGATGTCAGTTTGAGGACTAAGGTGCATATGATTTAGATCATAGTCTTTCCAGTTACTTTCAGTGCATCTGAGAGCTGGACAATGAATAAGGAATGCAGAAGAAGAATTGATACTTTTGAGCTGTGGTTCTGAGAAGAGCACTGAACATTCCATGGATGTCCAAGAGAACAAACGCATATGTCTTGGGAGAGGGTGCAGCTGAATTGCTCTTTGGAGCCAAGAATGAATGATGAGGCTTTGCCTCACATACTTTGGGCATATTGCTAGAAGGGAGTATTGCTTAGAAAAGGACATGATGCTGGGAAGGGTGAGTGTCGGTGAAAGAGAGGAAGACCCTCAGCCAGGTGGATTGATATGATGACTGCTGCAGTGGGCTCTTGTGTGTCAGGAAGTGTGAGGATGACACAAGATAGAACAAGGTTCCAATCTTTTGTTCATAGGGTCATTATGAGTCATATTTGACTCAACGGCACCTCACTGAAAGGCCTCCTGGGAACTGGGCAACATTCCACACTGATCACACCTTCTAGGAGACATTCCAATCAGGCTGGTGGAAGATGTCTATGGCCAATCAGAGAAGAGCACGACCACCAGCCACAGCTTGCTTAACTGTCAGCAATGACACAATCTATCTAAAGGGACTGAGTAACTACATATTTGGGAACTAACAGAAGGCATCCAATCAGTGCCCTCCACAGAGAACTAATGATCAAGCTGACCATCCTGCCCCCAGCCCCTGCTTATAAAAATTTGCCTGAAACGTCCTCATTTGCACCTTTCCTGCCTCACACTGCCTTTCTCTGTCTCGAGACAGTAAACTCATCTGAGAGCTGATAAAAACTCTTTTGTTTTACTTCACCTGGTGTTCTGCTCACTTTTTACCTTACACTAACAACAATTACGAATTCCAATCACAGCTGCTGCTCCTCTGATAACCACTAATAAGCATTATTTTCTACATATTTACCTTTTTTTAATTGATATATATTTTTATATATCACATTTTGTTTATCTCTTCATTTATTGTTGATCCTTTCCACAGTTTGGCTCTTGTAAATGCTGCTATAGTGAGTATTTATGCATATATCACTTTTGGAGTCTTTCTGCTTTCAGATCTTTTGAGTGTCTACCCAGAAGTGGAATTCTCGATTCATATAGTAGTTCTAGTTTTAGTTTTTTGAGCAACCACTACTTGTTTTCCACAACGACTGTGTAATTTTGCATTCATGCCAGCCATGGTTACAATTTTCTCATATTCTCCCCAATGTTTTTTACCCCGCTTTTGGTTTGTATGTTTTTAAATGTTAGGTTGAATTGGTGTCTTATTTTCATTTCTCTAATGACCAATGATGTTGAACATCTTTCCATGTGCTTTTTCACTAAAATTTGTATATTTTCATTTTAAAGGAGCTGACTTACTGAATCACTAAAGTACTCAATTCTAGTTCTAGAATGTATGTTTTTTAATAAAAAAGTGAAGAAAAAGGGCTATTTTCTTTAGCAGACAAGTTTACTTAATTTTTAAAAAATATAGAGCATTCTGGCATGTTTTTTCCCCAGCAGATTTGTTTGTTCTTTTGATAGTCATATATATAGTTAAACTATTCACCAACACCACCATTTGAAGGTTTCTATTTTTCTTCAGTCTTTTTTATTGTCTACTTTCACATATTTATGAGGCAGTTTAAAATACCACTGCTTGGATTTGGCACACCTTAATCTTTTAATCCTTGCTCTTTAGCACTTTTGCAATGGATTTGCTCATGCACCATGTCTTTTGATTTCCTTTTAGTGTTACTGTAATAATTGCTTTAAACTATAGCATAGTAAAAAAACCGTCTTTAGCTGAATTTTTCTTTTTTAGTTACCTATGATATTTGAGACTTATTGTCTAATTTAAAATGTTGTTGTTTGTTGTTTGGTGCCGTGGCGTCGTAGACAACTCATAGCGACCCTATGAATGAACGGCCTGAGCACTGTTCATACATAGAGTTTCCGGAGGCAAGCCATTTCGGAAGTGGATGCCGCTCCTGCTTCCAGGCTTGTTTTAGTCGGGAAGCGCCAGCCAACACTGTCCACCATGGGTACCCATTACCGATGAATTTAAAATAGTATGCTTTAATTAAAAATTACAGTTAAGGGAATTAATTTTACATTAGCAAGCTTTGTTATGAAATTCTGGAGACCTAGTCCATAACACATCACACTGCTGACTAAAGGTCTGCATGTCTCTGGTGGTTCAAATAAACCAGTGGCTTGCAGAAGAAAGGTAAACAGTTTCCCAATTTGATTTACACCCTCGGCTCTGGTTTCAGTTCACCAGTCAAATCCAAATCACCCAGTAAAGTTTGCCTCAGAGCAGTTATAAGTCAGCTTTTCCTTCAAATATCCAGCAAGAACAGCCAAACCTTTAACTGTGGTCAGCACAAATGAAAAGAGCTTCGGGTCACACCTTGTTGCAGTTTCACCACAGCATTGCCACAGTCTCTCCACCACCAGGGTCCTGCTCTCATCGAGTTCTTGCCACCACAATCCCTGGTTGCCTCAAATCTTGCTTCCCTATGTGGGAAGCACTCTTTCTCTTATTTTAGCCCCATAGCTGTTGAAAATTTGCAAGACCATGTGTCTGCAGTTAAGAAGACCAGACGCAGCTAACAATATTGACTAAAAAACCCCAGCTTTTAGGCTAACACCTCACATGATTATATTTAAACCTTGTACATGTATATAGTTTCAATGAAATCCAGCATTTTAGGGTATGAGGAAAGAGAGTAATCCATGGGAAGAATACATTGCAGCACTCTTCAGTTGCCAAATGAAAGGGATTTCTTTATACTCAAAAGTGGTTCTGCCTCTAATTCTTCAAAATTAAAAAAAGAAATAATAAAATTCAGATGTTAGAAGAAGTCTCCAAAAGTCTTAATACCCTTTTGATATTTACTTACCATCCCCAGCTATTGGATAATTTCTTTAATTGGTTCTCATTTGAATAAGATGTGTCTTAAAAATAAACAATGGTTATGCTTTTAATGAATTTTTTATAAAGTATGAGAAAAAGTTATTAATAGGGAGATTACTATCAGAATTAAATCTAGATTGTTTTATAGTATCCCATTCATGTCAATTATTATATGTACACTTTTGGAGTACATAAAGTTTAGAGTATGACTTTCATTTCTTTTAACAGGCTCTTTACCAGATATACTAATATTTTTTCTTTTTTTATTGATATTTTAGTGAAAGATTATAGAGAACTTAGATTTCCATTCATTCATTGTTGCATATTTTCCTTCCTGCCCATCCCTTAACCACAGTTCACTTTTATCTTTGAAAGGAAAAAAAAATTCTTTCTTCTCCACCCCCGCCCCCATACTATGCAGCTCTTATCCTGGACTCTGGTCATGCAAATAATACCTAATCATAGGGGAAGGCCCTCTATGAAGTGGATTGATTCAGTGACTGGGGTAATTGGGATGGGAGTTTCAGAGACAGTGCGATTGGCACAGGGCAGAGCAGAGTTTAGGGCTGTTGTACATAGGGTTGCTATGAGTTGCAATTGACTTGATGGCACATAACAACAACATTTCCCTTTTAAACAGTTTTCTCCTCATAAGTTTCAATGCAGTGGACATTATTTATCCCCTCTTTTCTTAGTTTTTCTCCAAAATCAATGTCAGTCCTGTTTTGTAACAGTGGCATTATGCAGTATTTGTTGTTTTGAGATATTTCACTCAAAATAATGCCCTCCAGGGTCACCCATTTTGTACAATATTTTATGATTGTATAATATTTCCTGTTTTTCAGTGCTGTATAGTATTCCATTGTGTGAATATACCACAGCTTCTCTCTCCATTTGTTTGTTGATCAGCACTTGGGTTGTTTCCAACTCTTTGCTATTGTGAACAAAGCAGCAATAAACATGGGTTCATATACATCTGCTTGGGTGGCAGTTCTGGTTTCTTTAGGGTATATTCCCAGTAGTGGAATTGCTGGGTCAAATCGTATTTCTATTTCCAACTTTTTAAAAATATGGAACACTTCACGAATTTGCATGTCATTCTTGCACAGAGACCATGCTAATCTTCTTTGTATTGTTCCAGTTTTAGTATATGTGCTGCCAAAGTGAGCATGTGAAGTATATTTTTAATGATGCATAACTATTCCTTCAAATTATATCAGTAAATATAGACTGTTGTAAAAAATACCATTTTACTATCTACTTGAATCTAATTCAAATTCAGAGTTAATATTTCACTTTCTACATAAAGTATAGTAAGTGATTTTTGGCATAATCTATTCTATTTATTTCTCCTTACTTGGTTTTAAGAGTAAAACAGAGCAGTTTTATATAACTAAAGCAGAATATTTTTCTCTTTTATGAAGCAATGATAGAATTTTTACAGTTTTAATTGTTTTCTTTTTTACCTTAACTTTAGAGATATATTTCCAAAAGAATAATATCAATGCTGTTCATTCTTTAGGACTTTTTTGCAGATTCCAGACTCTAATTCCAGCAGCAAGAACTTTTTCCCTAACACAGAGGTTGGATGAAGTGTCAGACCTTGTGTGGCATCTAGGTCGACTCAATCATGTAGCCATAGCAGTCCCAGATTTGGAAAAAGCTTCAGCCTTTTACAAGAATGTTTTAGGGGCTCAAGTAAGCCACACCATCCCTCTTCCTGAACATGGAGTATCTGTTGTTTTTGTCAATCTGGGAAACACCAAGCTGGAACTGCTTCATCCTTCTGGGAGTAATAGTCCAATCGCAGGTTTTCTGCAGAAAAACAAGGCTGGAGGAATGCATCACATCTGCATTGAGGTATTTATTTTAGTTCTGGATGTTTTCATTGTTTTACAAAGCTATCTATAAGATGATGGTATCACAAGATGAAATGGGCTTAGATCCCTGAATCACCAGATGGAATAAAATCCCTTGCCTCCCCTTGAATAGGAAATGCATTTTTGTTGAGTGAAGTGGCTGAAGTTTAAGGGTTAATTAATTACTTTACAATAGTATAACAGTTTTAGTTTGCTTGGTTCCACAATCAACACTCTTGGTACCACCAGCCAAGTCAAGAGACAAATTGCTTTGGGAAAGTCAGCTGTCAGGGACCTCTCCAGAGTACTGAAGAGCAATGACATTAGGCTGGAGACTAAGGTGCACCTGATCCAGGACATAGTCTTCACAATTGCGTGCTATGTGTCAGAGAGCTGGACAGTAACTAGGGATGATAAAAAGAAAATTGATGCCTTTGAGCTGTGGTGATGTAGTACAGTGTTGAATATACCATGGACTGCTAGGAGAACACACACAGGTTTGTCCTGGAGAGGGTAAAAGCAGGCTGCTCCTTGGAGGCAAGAATTCTCAAGCTTCGTCTGACATACTTTAGGCATGTTGCAAGGAGGGACCAGTCCTTGGAAAGGGACATCATGTTCGGGAGGGTGGAGGGACAGCACAGGAGAGGAAGACCCTCGATGAGATGGATCGATTCTGTGATTGGGATGATGGGAATAGATGTGTCAGAAACAGTGCTGTTGGCACAGGATAGAGCAGGGTTTAGGACTGTTGTACATAGGGTCACTATGAGTCTCAATCTATTCTATGGCACATAACAACCACCACCACCACAACAACAATAACATAGTATAACTTATTATATTCTGCTAATTTGCCTCCGGAAACTCTACAAACAGTGCTCAGACCTTTCGTTCATAGGGTTACTTAGTCATCTACAACTCAATGGCACATACCAACAATAACAGTGACAACATAGAGAGAGCTATGTTGGCCTAGTGGACAGAAAGTTATGCTACCAAGTGCAAGGTGGGTGGTTTTAATCTGTGGCACTCAGGCCTGGTTGAAATTGTTTTTGTCAAACATTCTTCTAGGTGGTATAGCACTGATCTGTGCATTTCTGTACAGAGGTAACTTGTGGTTGCTGTAATGCTAAACACCGTGACATTGATGTGCCAAATGTGATAATGGTTACCCATGGTGTTTGGGTTTGGTGGAGCTTCCCAATTAAAACAAGCTTGAAAGCAGGAGTGGTATCCAATTCTAAAATGGCTTTCCTCCAGAAACTCTATGAACAGTGCTCAGACCTTTCGTTCGTAGGGTCTCTATGCATCATCTATGACTCGATGGCACCTAACAACAATGACAACAATATGATTTGGAACTGAAAGCACCCTCCCCTGAAAATAGAGAAGTTGTAGACCAGTCAGGGATTTTTTTGTATATGTGTAATTGTTGCTGTGTTAAATACTATTCTAAAACTTGGTAATTTTTAATATTTTCTTTTGTTCAGGATTTTGTGGGTAAGGAGTTTTGGAAGATTTCATTTGGTTAGTTCTTGCTTGGGGCATTGTGAGTGGTTTTGTCATATGTCAAGTGGGGGTAACGTTAAGTGAAGGATTGGCTGGGCTGGATCCTGGCTAAGAGTTGATGCTGACTGGCATCTGGGAATAGAACCATTCCACCTTGAGGACTGTTAGAAGAATAGTTAGACTTCAGTTTGGTAGTTGGCTCCCCCTAAACTGAGAATCTCAAAAGAACCATTTGAGAATGGCCAGGCCTTTCTGACCTACCGTTTTGCTGCTGAAAGTTGACCATATAAGTAAGACATTAAGACAGGCCAGATTCAAGGAAAACAGTATCGTCCTGCCTCAATAGGAACTGTATCAATTTGTGGACATATTTTTTAAAGTGCTGTAGCCATCAATGAGTGAGCACATCCAGGGCAGTGTCTGTTTGTTGAAATAAATCAATTGGTATGCTGTCAACTCCTGGAGCCTTGTTTTCCCCAATTCCTTCAGAGCAACTTGAACTTCCTCCTTCATCACCATAGGCTCTTGCTCATATGTTATTTCATGAAATTCCTCCTTGTCAGCCAATTCCTTCTTATATAGTGACTCTGTGTACTCCTTCCATCTTCTTTTGATACTTCCTGGATCATTTAGCATTCTACCCAAATTATCTTATTGCCACCCTTGGCTTTAATTTCTTTTTCAACTCCTTCAGCTTAAGAAACGCTGAGCGAGTTCAGCCCTTTTGATTTTCTGACTCCAGTTCTCTGCACATTTCATTATAGTATCTTGTTTTGTCGTCCCGAGTTGCCTTTTGAAATTTTCTGTTCAGCTCTTTGATTTCTTGATTTCTTCCTTTAGCTTTGGCTTCTTGGCACTCTAATGCAATACTCAGAGTCTCGTCTGACATCCATCTTGGTCTTTTCTTCTTCTTCTTCAGCCTTTGTAATGATCTTTTGCATTCTTCATGGATGATTTTCCTGATGTCCTCCCAGAGCTTATTTGGTCTATGCTTATTGGTGCTCAAGGCCTCAAACCTGTTCCTGAGATGGTTTTGAAATTCAAGTGGGACAGATTTAAGGTCAAATCTTGGTTCCCATGGACTTGATTTCATTTTCCTCAACTTCAGCTTGAACTTGCATATGAGTAGTTGGTGGGCTGTCCCACAATCAGCACCTGGCCTGGTTTTCACTGCTGATATTGAGCTTCTCCAGTGACTGCTCTGGATGTCGTCACTAAGTTGTGTCAAGAAATATGGAGGACAGCCAGCTGGCCAACTGACTGGAGAAGATAGATATTTGTTCCCATTCCAAAGAAAGGTGACCTAACAGAGTATGAAAATTATCGAACAATATCATTAATATCATATGCAAGCAAGATTCTGCTGAAAATTATACAAAAACGCTTGGAACAATATGTCAACAGAGAACTGCCAGATGTGCATGCTGGATTTGAAAGAGGTCATGGTACTAGGGATGTTATAGCTAATGTTAGATGGATTTTGGCAGAAAGCAGAGAACACCAGAAGAATGTCTATCTGTGCTTCGTTGACTATGCAAAGAGTTTTGACTGTGTTGATCACAACAAGCTATGGCTGACTGAGAAGAATGGGGATCCCAGAACATTTGATTGTGCTAATGCAAAACCTATACTTGGACCAAGAGGCAGTCATCAGAACAGAGCAAGGAGACACTACATGCTTCAAAGTCAAGAAGGGGATCAATCAGGGATGTATTTTGTCTCCATACCTTTTCAATCTATTTGCAAAACAGATCATCTGAGATGCTGAGCTGTACGAGGAGGAATGTGGCATCAGGATTGACAACCTGCATTATGCAGATGACACAACCCTGCTTGCTGAAACTGAGGAGGATCTGAAGCACTTGCTGCAGAAGGTCAAGGACTGCAGCCTCCCATATGGATTGAGGCTCAACGTCAGGAAAACAAAGAGTCTCACTACTGGGCCAATTGGTAGTATCAGTATGGATGGTGAAGAGATTGAGATAGTTAACAGTTTTAGTTTCTTGGCTCCACAATCAACACTTTTGGTAACAGAAGACAGGAAATCAAGAGACGAATTGCATTTGGAAAGTCAGCTGTGAGGGACCTCTCAAAAGTACTGAAGAGCAATGACATCAGGCTGGAGAAGGTGTGCCTGATCCTGGCTATAATCTTCGCAATTACGTGCTTTGCATCGGAGAGTTGGACAGTGAATAGGAATGATAAAAATAGAATTGATGCCTTTGAGCTGTGGTGCTGGAGAAGATGTTGAATATACTATGGACTGCTAGGAGAACAAACAGGTTTGTCCTGGAGAGGATGAAGCCAGAATGTTCTCTGGAGTCAAGGATTCTGAAGCTTCATCTGACATTCTTTGGGCATGTTGCAAGGAGGGACTGGGTCTTGGAGAGGGACATCATGTTTGGGAGAGTGGAGGGACGGCACAGGAGAGGAAGACCCTCAATGAGATGGTCGATTCTGTGAGTGGAGTGGTGGGAATGAGTGTGTTAGAGACAGCGAGGTTGGCACAGGATAGGACAGTATTTAGGGCTCTTGTACATAGGGTCACTATGAGTCACAAGCGACTTGATGGCACCTAACAACAACAACACAACATAGCCATCAATAGGAGTGTGTGGATGGCACAAATTGTTCAACAGTGAACTACTAACTGAAAGGCCAGCAGGTCTAACCCACCCAGCCTAGCTCAGCTCAGGAAACAAGCCCTGGAATTTGCTTCCAAATCCTATGGACAAGTTCTGCTCTGTACACAGGATTTTGGCTGAAAGGCTGCTTGTTGATGGTGATTGATAGCCATCAACTTATTAATGTGTTCTAACAAAAAGAAAGTTGTATGAAACTTCTAAAGGTTCTAGAATGATTTTCAGATCATCAGAAGTTGGAATGAGCAACATTAGCACATGAAGTATGACCCCTTGGTGAATATTCCCAGTTGCTAAGTCGATGAGATAGTTTGGCTCAGTGACTGGAGGAATAAGATGTGTCAGAGACAATGAAATTGACTCAAGATAGAATAGGATTCAGAGCTTTTATAGATCGTGTCAGTATGAGTTGCAAGCAACTCAAAGGCACTTAATGACAACTACAAGGTGCTTGTAACCCTTGTGACACTGCAGATCTGCACAGGGTTTTCGCTATAATCTGTATGGAAGCCAAGCTGGTCATCAAGTCTTTTTGTCTGTGACACCCTTGAATGGCTTTCAGCCATTCTTCTTCATTAACTGCTTAACAGTTGCAGCACCAGAGATCCTTATTGGTAAAGTAGAAAGTTGATAAATATTATTTATTTCTGAAAATTCTCACAATTATAGTTCATTGTTATTAATTTTTTAATGCCAGTCATTTTCTTTTGATGTGAAATCCGCCCATCAAAGCATTAAGAGAGCTAAGTAATTAGTAGCATTTTTTCTTAAGAAAATTTCCCCCTATACTCATCACAAGAGCACTTTATGTTCTTTTTCACTTGGACTTGATAAAAAGTCTCTTCTATAG